TTACTGTCAAAGTTTGGTGGTGCAACTCAGCCTTAGTAATAATGAAAACATTAATGGGTTATCTGAGTTATGACGAAGCGCCTCTTAGGGAGGAAAATGGCTCAGTACACGAAGGCCATCGATTGTCATGAAAACCGTAACTTCATGGTGCATTATGCTAGGTCATGGTATCGTTATCACACTCACAGTTATCACAACAGCTTTTACATTGTTACAGTAGTTAATAAAGCACTAAAACAGATCTATAGTAGTCATAGAACATTTTATTACAATTTAGCGTTAAAACAGTGTAACAGTATCGTGCATCAGACTACAAAAATAACTTGGGAACGTGGCGTTTAAAGGAATTGTATTAGTTTTATTTCCAAGTAATTCTAGTGCAAAGAACGACAAGTGCCTGATATGGAACGGGACGAAGGTTCCGTAGCGATTCTTCTTAATATGTTTATGGGTTCCGGAGAAAAATATTTTCTATGGCTTTGATCTTATAATAAGGCAAATAAGAAGAATCTCATGCAAATGTATTAATTAAGGCCGGGTAGCAGAGAAAATGGCGAAAATGAGGTTTTCATTTTTCATTTTTGAGGTACTAAACAGTAAAATTAAAGGCTAAGATTTTTATTGGGCATAGTTGAGGATATTTTCGAGGGCTATTAACGGATGGAAACACGATTTGATGAAGTTGACTCGATAGAATAAATTCCCAAAGTTACCTCTATTCGTTTTCTATTTATGGTTTTATTTTTAAAATAAGCGATTTGAGATTCTAATTCTTTTACTAAACTAAAGTTCAGAAATAACTTGAGGGCTTTTAACGGATGAAATTTTTATATTGCGTCTTAATTAGTTACAATGTTAAAAAATGTGGAAAAAATCGTCCATGACGACTTGAACAATCTCAATCAGTCGCGCGGTGGCGCTTACGGAGGACGGACGCGTGTCAGTTTTTTGGCCGTGACAGTTCGCGATTTGTCAATATTTTTGACAATGATGACTTTGATGAGTCACAGTATAATAATATCAGTGTTACTGGAGAAAGCTTAATTTTTTGATAATTAAGAATTATCAATTTTGTCTACCTATTGAAATTTAAATCGTTCGCATCCTTTTAAACGAAGACTCTACTCATGATACATAGTACATTCCTCAAATATGAGACAAAACCAATGAGTTAAAATTTCATTTTAATAGTACCTACATACAATCGTCTTACACTCTTTAGAAGAGCACACTGACACAAATAAATAATAAAAAATACTGTCTAAGGTCTGTAGCTAAAGGTCTAAGCTGTAAGATAGAAGAATCTTCTAGCCAAAAAGATGGCAGATGCAGCAGATGTCAACGGATTTAAAACTGGAGTTGATGTATGGAACGGTCGCTTTTTTGTAACCTTTATAATTTGGTCGGCTTATAGAAGAATTCCTGATATTTTTTTGCAGTTCGATAACTTTCTTATAAGTCGTAATATAAAGCTGAAATTAACAGGATAGCTTATTCAAGGAACATTTTCATTTGTCCATTGTATGCCATGTTCCCTTGTTATAAGGGAATCGCGTATTCGGCCACGAAAGTAAGACTGTTAAAATAAATTAGATTTCTTGAAATCTCTCTTTTGCGCAAAGCCACATCATTTATATTTACTGTGGTTATAAAGGTGTACCAAGGGTACATGGTACACCTTTTTATTCGATTGTAAGAGTACTGGTTTACTCACAAATCCGTTTTATCTGAATTTCGAAATCTTTTAATTACACTGGTGTTTATCATTCAAATCAATGACTAATGTTTGAACTAATTTGGACATAATCAAGGTCTATCAATGGTATTTTTTTCAAACTTCTGCGTTGAGCCATTTACGAGATCTGGGACATCACAAAACATTACCCCAGCAAAATTCTAAATAACTTGAGAACCGGAACACGAACAAATTTTGCTATTCGTGGACAAATTACTACGCAACAAGAGCTATCTATCCATGTTGATATTGATTTGGTTCTGGGATAGAACGACTTTAAAAAAAATCCAGGGTAATGTTTGAAACGTTACCCCAGCAAAATCTGTTTTTTCCTAATAACTTTAAAACTATAATTTGAACGAATTTTGCTATTAGTGGACAAAGGAGAATGCCCAAGTGACTATGGGAGTTGGTATCGCTATCAAATTAATTGTACATTAATCGAATAAAGCTTAATTTATAGTATGCATACAGGACTATTTGGCACAGTTATTTTTTTTTTATAAAACTCCGGACTTTGACGTAATTTTGGTTTAAGTGAAATGAATGGTGTCCATTGGCATAGCTACAGGTTTTACCTTAGAATACTTGTTTTATATTTGTGGATAGTTACCCTGCCTAAAAAAACCCTAGCCGATCAGATATAAACACAAAATAATCTTGCGTGCATACCAATGTTATTAATACCATTTTGCAAGGGGAAAGGGATTTGTGGTTAGCCCTGACTACTTAAGGACAGGAAAAAATCAAATGATATCGCGAGCTAACTACAAACAGCGCCATCTATTGACAACCGTGCGAACTACGTAGTGTCGTTGCTCGGTGATAGGTGTTGCTGATTGCAGCTCATTGTTACAATACTTTTTATTAAAATCGGATTTTATTCCGGAGGTTTTACAATTTCTTACTACTTTCGCAAATCATTACAAATGAAGAAAGGAATTTACGGTGTGGTACCCTCAATGTACAATTAGATTTCGAGCGATACCACTTTTGGGCATTCTCCTTTCTGCTCACAATGGACTAATTATCTGCTATACTCTCGACTCTCTAAAGCACAACATTTATAAAAAAATTGCTGCGGTAATGCACTCCAGGTAACCGTGTGTGATGCTCATTGCTCATAGTGATTTTCGATACAGAGCCCCGCCGTACATACGTTATACATAAATTATGGAAAGAAAACACCCAGACCAATACAAACAAATATGTATGCAATTTTGGTATGATATTTTTATTTATTAATAAACAAAAAGACTGAACAAAATTGATGCGTGTACTGATTAATGTAATTAACCTCATGCAAAGTTTCGTGAATTGCAACAACTATAATTTATTATCCAAGCTCTAAATAATCGCTACTACGAGTAACTGATCATAAAATGTTTTTCCAATCGCTCAAGCTCCCGAGGATCTACCGATAGGTCGGGTGACGTAATCTTGAAATTCTTTTAGCCGGCGCGGAACTCCCGGAAGGTCGGGTGACGCCACGCCTCTTTGAACCGTGTTTACTTTGGCAGTTATATTCTAAATTTATTCGATTGTAAAATATATTCCCAAAAATTTTGAAAGTTGTTTTAATTTGTATCACTTGGATATGATTTGTATTAGAAAGTGCTGTGAGTGTGACGCTTGAACGGAAGGAAGTCAACCTAACCTTACCAACTGCGTATTTCTAAACTGCGTATTTCTATACTGTGTAGCCGCGAGAGCTCTTTGGCGCGCTGTCTTCGGCGAAGTATTGCGCGCGCAGATTTTGACAGCGCGAAATACCTACTTTAGCAGAAATACCAAGCCTTAAGCATGGATATACATATTTTCACAATAAATGCTGGTGGAGTAAAACTACAAATATAATGAGCGGCTGGAAAATAAATTACATTTTGAAAGTAATGGAAAATGAATTCCGTAACAACAGAAACCTGATTTTCACCTATAACGATTAGTTTTAGCAAAACGAACCCTGAAAAGTTGGTCTGGCGATATTGATCAAAGTTGTGTCCCGTAAAGCAAGCCGGTGTCGCGATTAAATTACAGAAAAGTTACGTTTATTTCGGTGGAAACGTACAGACACATCAAGCTTAACACCTGGAGTCTTATGTCGTTGCAATACAGGCTATTTTGGAACAAATTTATTTAGTCAGATGAGCTGTACACTCAGCGCCACCCCTGACAGTATTTTATCGGGGGAAGTGGCAGCCCTGTTTTACGGCGGGCAAAAAAGCAAACTTTCACCTCTGTAACGTTTCAGTAATAAAAATATTTCACCGCACACACCTTTGTCCACGGCTATGCATCACGTGGACAGTTGCATTTTGTTTGCTCATTCATTCATTAATAGAAGGTACTTTTAATGGTTAATGTTTGTTAACTAAGTTCTGCCTTGAATTAGGTAGGTGAATTATGACTAGTGCGCCAGTAACTTAGTAGCCAGTACTGCTTAAAAATATGAATATACATTTGTTAAGCTTTATTTGACCCTTTTATTGCACTCCGCTTAACCCTACTTGTGGAAGACGCGTTCCAAAGATTACGACAACCAAGATATTTTCATTAGTGACTCAAGATACGTTATAATATCAATTCATTTAACCGGAATATCACCCAAGGCTTTGTTTACTTTTAAATACTGAATAAAAATATTGAACATCATTGAATGATGATACACGTAGGAAAATAATTAAGAAAGATGTTCTGCTAATAAACAACCATGACTTGAAATCAGCAGTCAAAACAATGTCGCAATGCAAGTTGCAATTATCCCATGGACAATAATGGACATCGTCTAAAAACAGAAACAAATTAAGACCCCAAAATATTTTTTTTTCTATTTTTAAGGTCAAATGAACATCTGTTTTCTAACGTGACTATAAATGGTGGTATAATTAAAGCATAATTATGTAAGACCGTGCCATATTTGGAACAATTAACAGTACTTATACAGGCGGTTTACTATGACTAGTCGATGTTGAAGAGAATTTTAATCACGAATATATATGAAATTTTTCCTTAAAATAAATATGCTAGCATGAATGAAAAAATACGGGAAAAACGTTGAAAAAAAATAGATACGCGTAAGGATAAAATACTCATATTATAGGGAAAAGGGTTCCAATTTTTCCGTTTTAAACTCTGACACGTGTTTCTTTTTATCACATCAAAGGAAATCAACCATTGAGTTTTTCCAGTTTGTGACTTTACTGGATAGACAGACATCTTCCATCTAGAAAATAAAGACAATTTATTAAATCTATCTATCACTTACCTTTATTTGATATGAGTTGACTTTGTGCTTCGGCAGAAGATTAAAAGTAGAAAAGTCCAGTCTTCTTGAGAATATTCCGTTCGCTCCAGCACCAGCTCTGTAACAATAATACAATTTATTGTAAAATCTGTTATTTTAGATACTTCTTTCATGACATGAGTTTGCTACGAGCGCGTGTGTGACATGGCCCATATCAGACACATGCCAAAAATGGCCTTCAATTTCAAAGTAAGAAATAAAAATTATTTTTGGTTTTCGAAACACAGACTCAGAAAATTTCGTTTAACTAAACCTACCCACATTTTATAAATTTTTAACAAACTACAATCAAGAGATGAAAATAGTCTGAACGAAATATTCCGGTAACTGATGTAAAATGTCTCATCGAACACAATTCGTCTGATTGCAGACATTCGGAATCGATGCTCGGTTAATGAATCAGAATCCAATTTACGCAGAGTATAACAACGACGTTTCGTGTTGCCACAGCATTGCGACTAATCGCATTACACGGCTTTGTTACTCGTTAAGAGGTGACAACTACTAACAGATATTTAATTTAATTAATTGTTTACGAAATTTCGGAAGCCAGATATTTTATAGAGTAGTCCTTTATTACATGAATCTAAAAGGAAATTAAGTAAATTAGTTAATACATTCAGATTATTTATCATTAATTTAACATTCATTGCTACGGCCTTGAGTAAAAATTTGCATTGTTTTATGAACAAGTGATACAAGTTATGTGTACGCAGCTTGTGTGTAAACTATATCATCATTTATTATATGTCAAGTAATTAAATAAACAATTAGGGGCAACACATAGAGTTCCCAAACACAGAATATTATGATGCCTTAATGACAGAGCCATCAGCCAATACGGCTAACGCGTCTGTTCACCACACTTCCACTCCTTGTTTTCTCTGTGGGAACGAGAAAGAAAGAGAGATAAAAAGGTTTTTTTTACTTTTTTTAACTGGGGCAAGTGACAACCCTGTGGCAGTCTGACGCTATAGAGGGCAACGAGTTTTATTAATCCACTGACATTTTACTTTTTGCACTATTCAACACTATTTATGTTGCACATTCTACTTTTTGTTTTACTCAACACTAGCTTGTAAGTCTTGAGACTATGGGCTCGCTTTTCTTGATTTTGTAACCAAAATTCCACTTTACATTTAAATGTAAAAGCATTATTAATGTATGCTAATAAATTATAATTTTATTGGGCGACTAATCGTTAAAATAATAATAACATAAATGCACTATTATAGAAAAACACACTTAGCTGCTCGTGCATCGATCAATAAACAGGCAGTTAATTAAAAACTGGTATAATCCTAATTTTGGCGATGTCCTTGTGTCAGTAAAAAAAAACATAATATGTTTTGGTATCTCATCTCTAACATGAGATGATATTATCCAAAAATCATCAATATTATTAGCAATATTAGTTAGCGATTTATGCGTGATAATGAAACAACTAACCAATAACACAAACAGTATGTCACAAACGTGATCAAAAACTAAAAAATCTAGGTATAAATAAAAGCATTTGTATTGCATTACTTTATTTAATATTCATTCCGACCTATCCGAAGTACAGTCACAACAGAATTGACAATTGAAAAAAGTCGCGCAAAAAATATCGTCAGTACACGCGGTGCAAACATCGGATAAAAACTTGTTTTTTCATTGCCAAGGCCAACCGAATTAGATATACGGAGCCGTATCGCGAAAGTCAACATACATTGTTTACATACATCCACGATAAAAACGGCAGATTATATTGTTAGCGAGTATGTATGCTGCGGATGAGATTAATAAAAATAATACATTGTCAGATCACATTTTGCAAAGCCAGTTTTTAAACGAGTTTCGGTGGGAATCGGAAAACTGGAGCTATTTTTGTTAGCGCTTTATTAGTTTCATGCATCACGGCAAAAGTATGTAGATGGAATAGTTTGTAACTGAATAAAGAATAAACAATTCTAGCTTTTGCTTTTCACGATCTTTCTTCTAGCTTCGAAAATTACGAACTCCCAAACAAACATTCAATCAACGCCTTTTTCAAATCGTTTATGATTTAATTTCGATAAAATAACCTTCTTATTTTTCTTTTTCGCCAATCTGAAAAGAAAATACGACGTAGGATATGTGCCTATAATATAGTATTACCCAAACTAAAACACCTTACTTTTTGTACTTTAGCCAGTTATGTAAGCACGCCTCATATTTTTGGTCTTTGTTTTGCTCGGAGCTCGGCTTAAAATCGGCACGTTCGAATCAACATTTTTTCACATACGTGGTTCTACGCCGCAGTTAACAGAACACACTAATGCCAATGTAAATAAAGATCGAAATACCATGACAGAATTTTAACTCTACCATGAGCCCAAACTGGGTAACCTTGAATCAGCACAATGGGCTACTTTATTCGATCGGCAAAAAACACGATCCCCACCCTAATGCACCAATTACATAACATAATAGCCGCTCTGTTATTTTAATAAACTCATTTCGATGTATAGTTTTTTTTTATAAAATTATCTGGTAGAGATTACACGTTGTAAAATGTAAACAAAACGTTGATATCGTATCCTTCATACCGGTTTAGAGAACGCACTCATTTTACACTCGTTAAAAACATGTTGCACATTTATTTTCATATTAATATGGCACATTAAATAAAGAGTGTGTTTGCAGGACAAACGTTGCCGGGCTGATATATAGCAAATGCAATATGGCGGTCTTGGCCTTGGCTTCTGAATAAAAATAACGATGTTTTTGTCGAGTCGATTTTATATCTGAGGAGCGCGGGCGCAACTTGAGCTTGTGTGCAGCTCACACACACAGAAGTGTACGATACACGTGTTAGAGACGGGTTGTAAAGAATACTTTTTATGTGCCGCCTCTTTAACCCATTTAGCATGTCAAATGGCAACATCACGGCCCACTTAATCTCTTCGGAGAACCAGACCGTAATAAGATGTAGGTACTTATAATATGACAGCCGTGAGTATCCTACTGAAAACCTAATCCCTGGGCGAAATTACCCATCTGTAGTGATAGATTTTTGTACCTTATTAGGTTCAAAAGAACGCCCGGTTAGTGAGACAGAATCTGAAGGGATGTAACCCTCAACTGACTGTCGTTTCGTATTATCTACATAAAAATCAATATTGTCCTAAATAAAGAACAAAAGATTATGATTTCGTAAAAGATATCAAAAGTGTAAATGTTATTTAAGAATTTCGATCACGAGCTCTACCACTAGTTCAAGCTCTGAATGTAAATTAGGTTAGTGTTGAATTTCGTTATGCTAAATGAGAGTAATTTATTGCTTTTCTGATGCATTATTTTTGTCACATGTCTATTTTGTAAATACCTATTATTCCACATGTAAAATGTATTTTTGTGGTAACACAATAACATTAAAAAAACATTTTAAAACCTACTTACAGAACACAGCTAAAATTATTCATGCGGTTGACTGATAACTGCTGATAAGAATTCAGTTGTTAAGTACCTAAATAGGTACTATTCTGTAATATTATGTTTTGCAACAATATGTTAAGTAGGAGCCGACTTCCTGGACCATAAGCCAAAGGAATAAAATTCAAAATCCATTACGAAATTCGTTATTTTAAGGTAACTTGATGTGCTGTCGATTGTGTCGGATAGAATAATAATACTTAGTGATTAATTGTGGTACCTATATCGTAAGAATAGCAACAAAGAAATTACAATGTAAATTAGCATGGCCGTAAAAAGTAAATATTGCATTGTTGGTTTGTCATGTTTAAATTGTGGTTATTAGCTTACCCTCAATATTGCAAGCTTGTCTTATTCATAAGCCGGCTTCAATGTTTTGACTCCACAATCTTCAATATGACTGACGTCATCTACTTGCGAATAAATAAGACCTTAACCATCAAAAATTCAGTGAGTAATAAACGTTATCCATATAGGGATCGGTTTATGACTCCCAGTCATAGCTGTGTCTAATAACAAACCTATTCTAGACTCTAGACTTGAGAAGACGTGTTATAATGGTTATTTGTACAACAAACACACCCACAAAGCCATTTAGTCAATAATTATTTTTGGTGTTTTCATTTTAGCTATTGCGAAAATACAATGCTAGGCCAAATACATTCTAAGAATTTGCAATAAAAGATGAAATGTTTAAACCGCATACACTACAACACACGAACCATTCTTTTAAAAAGCGTATTTAAATTTTAATGAGGCATCGAAGCAAATACCTACCATTTTCAGCATGTAATATTCTTTACAATTTTTTTGGTAAACGGCAACTCTGTGTGTTTTGCAAAAGAGAATCTGAAATATTGAACGATTAAAAAAATATAACATTGTGCGTTCCAAATCAGAGATTTGTCTCGCATCTCGTGCTCGACTGTACTTAAAACAAAGGCCGAATTGATCAAGGGTAATAACAGTACAGATTAAAATTTATTGTAATTTTCATTGGCTTACCAAATGTCGACCATCGAGAACAGAAGCAGTATAGTAAATTTTATACTCGGTGATCCTCTCACAAAATCAGTTCTTTTTTTATTTTCAAATACATAACACTGGCCACGCATACTATTTGTTTTCAAACGATATTCTCTAAATTCAAAAACAAAATGTTTTCTCCAGCCAGTGCTAGATTAGTCTAGTGCAACACCAACATAGGTAATCCAAAAACGAGAAAGGTACACATCACTAGTGTTGTTATTTGAAAGTAGACACCAGAGCTTGGACCGGTTCCTGACTTTCTCATTCATGAGCTTTCGGCCCACAGCAACCGGGTCGGCCCTCCTACCGAATGCACAGATTAAATATAATGTAGCAGTTTATGTTATGGCCAGTTCAGTATACACTGGTCTATAAATGCAAATTCGCCTATTAAAGGCGTCGCGGTGAAAGGTAAATATTAGAATGGGGCAGAAGAGTTTATTTAGGACTTAGTGGTTAATCACACGTTTATCGTAGAGTTGAATTTTAAACAAATTGAACATTTGTCTCAAAATGTTCTTGCTAAATTTCCCATTACAAATGGAAAAAATCCAATAATACAATTAAAAATTC